CAAAGCACATCATAGTGAACTACCTATGCAATCATCTATTACTTGTCAGATAACAATACAATATGATCAATGCATGGAGTTTAATTTTGGAAGCTTTTCTCTTGCTGGAATTTAGCAAAATACAGCAAATAATATGCTCAATAAAATAATGAAAATCAACAAAAATATTGTAAATAAATCTGGTGTCACAGACCTTTCTCAAATATTACGAAATCAGTTAATTACTATCCTGTCTCTACTACTAGAGTAATAGATAAAACGGCTTATGTGAATGATAAGGAAGACGAGATAAAATCTTTGAAAGAACAATATGAGAACAGAATTGTGGTGCTCCATTTAAAAAGAATAACGAGAAATTTAATGTAAAGCTTTAAAACCTCAAAATATGTGAACATCGGGGATAAGCGTGAAAAATTCTAAATATCTGCCAATGTTTTCAGGTGAGCGCGTAAAACTTTTCAGATTTCCTCAAAAAAATTCAGAAGGCCAAAAAACAGTTTCATTCGACACATTGAGCAGTTCTTTTGTAACTGCGTTCATGGTACTCAGCTATTTTGTTCTTTAAGGATATGATATCCTTTTGAACTGAAATTTTTTACCACTAACTTATGAGTTGAACCTCTTAAAACCAGCCTATCTTGTTCAGTTTTCTGTTCGTCCGATCCATGTGTAACTCGGATTCTTAAAATGGGAAATAGAACAAGAAAAAATAAACGGATGACAAAAGTCTACTTTTTCGATTTTCAGGTTTTTCCAAACATTTCAGGTATTTCAGGTGAAATCTGCGCCCTGAAACATTCTGCAAGACATCCGAAGAATTTCGGTATAATTTTAAATAAAAAGCAGACGGATAGCGCATAATAAGTAGAAGAAAGAATTAAAGAGAAAGGTTTCAGGAATCAATGGTATCTATTGGATTAAACAGTTGGAAAGTGTTTTTTAATGTTGATATTGCTACATCTTGCCGTAAAGTTGGATAGAACGAAAATTAATAAAAGTGGTTGGACATCATGTACTCTGCAAGAAAAAATAAAACTAACAGTTGCCATTTAGTTCCAATTGGCTATGATGAAATAGAATGGAGAATATCATTTACATCTGCCGAATTAGAATTGTCAAATACAATTAGTAAGAAACACAAAATGGCTTACGGTCTGCCAAAATGTTTTAGTAAATATCTGTGTTGTATAAATAATATAACAGTATTCCAATTCAGCAGCCCCGTATTACCAAATTTTAATTATTCAAAACCAAATCATCTCAGGGGTCTAAACATTTTTCGATTTTTCGAAATTTCTTTAAGAACTTTCTTGACGTTTTTGTTCACTAGATAAAATGCTTGTCTGCCAATAGAGATTCTACTCTGAAAGTGCCAAATCGGAAAATATTTTATCTCAGAGTTATATGAATGTCAAGTCCGGCTGGGCAATGAAACCCCCAGTGCCATGCCAATATTTTAAAAAGTTTTCGACATGATATTTGTCGTTAGGATATCAAGTTCAATATGTGCTGTGAATATTTTATGATCCGTATGAAGTAGCAGTAAATGCGATAGCAGCCGGGGTTTATTCTTGTTATTCTTTTGACACTGAAGATTTTATTGTTCCAAAAAACAATTTGTCGTTGTTATTATTATTAATCGTTTTCGTTGTGTTTCCACGCATCCAGTACTTCGGGATTCACGACGGCAACTGGCTTGCCAGCACAGTAGGCGGTAATCTGGTTGAAAATATCGACGAATTGAATTTCGTACTCATCTCGGGACACGTAACCGATGTGTGGAGTACAAACAACGTTATCCATTATGAGAAGGGGATGACTCGTGTCCAGTACTGGTTCTTCTTCGTAAACGTCAACCGCTGCCATACCTGGACGACCAGCAAGGAGTGCATTCACCAGTGCACTGGGTTCAATCAGACCGGCTCTGCTTGTATTAACGATGAGTGCCGTCGACTTCATGCGCGCCAAGTCGGAAGCAGTCACGATATTGCGGGTTGCATCCACGAGACGCATGTGCAGAGAAATAATGTCGCATTCCTCGAAGAACACGTTCTTGCTATCGGCAACTGGAAATCCGTCCATCTGTGCTCGATTGAGCGATGCTTCACGCGCCCACACTATCACATTCATACCAAATGCTTGGCCATATCTTGCCACAGTTCTGCCGATTCTACCATAGCCGTAGATTCCCAATGTTTTCCCACGCAATCCATATCCAACTCCAGTCTGCCATTTTCCTTCTTTGAGGGCTGCCATCTGCTGAGGAATCTGGCGCATCGCCGCAATAATCAGTCCCCAAGTCAATTCCGCAGCTGCATAAGACGGCGTGCCTGGGTGTTGGTCCGAGGATACAATTACTTTCTGGCGGGTACATGCATCAATATCAATGTGCGGATAGACACTGCGCTGACTAATGAGTTTCAGCTTCGTGAGCCGCTTTAGTAGCGCCTCACGAATTTGCGTTCGCTCGCGGATTAAAACCAGAACTTCGGTGTCTTTTAATCGATCGTGTAGTATATCAATGTTTTCAGTATGATCATTCCAAATTGTAACATTATGCCCCGACAATTTACTGAAACATTTAAGAGTACGAATAGTATCATGATAATCATCGAGTATTGTAATATTCAGGCTGGCCCCTGCTCCTTTGATTTGATTGCGCAAATTCATATGAGCCAGTGTAGAATGGATTGTATTGGAAAGGTCGTCTTTACTTCCCCTAGCAGCCGTAATGGGGAACGGGGATGAACCATACGCTGCAGCTGATGCAGTCTTCGTATCATTATTCTCTTGAGCGCAACTAATGATCGACTGTGATGGTGTATTGGCTTCCATCTTAGTTGAGCTAATTGTGCAAAATATGCTTCTAAATCGATTGGATTAAAAAAATTAGAAAACAATTTTCGATTCTATCTGTGGAATATGATAACAATTTTTTATCATTCAACCTCTAGTGAGCGTTAATAAAAACATCCACAGTTAAAACCAACAAAAAATTTGTGTTTTTTCTTTCCAACTCTTTTTGTTCTTTTTCGTCAATAAGCATAGATAACACAGACATTGCAATGTATTTGCATTTCTTGCGCCACGAAAAGAAAAAGAACGACAGTTTTTCACGCATAGATCAGAAACAGATAGATGGTAAAAAACCATGCCTTTTCAGAAGGAAAAAGAAAAAATCAATTATAAAAAATGTGTTTGCTGCTGGAAAACGTGTTCTCGTTAAAATTCGTCTCAAACGGCTTCTCATCAACGCTCTTTTTGTTGCCAACCAAATACTAAGATTAATGAATAAAACAGACTGAGATTTATTTAGAAAGAGACAGCCGAAGTATCATTGTAATAACGGACAATTAACTTTTTAAAATAAAGCTGTAAATAAATTTCTGATGTTGGGTTACCGAAGTATAGCAAGAAAGAAAGGCATTTAAGCGCTAAAAAAAAAGTTGACTTATAAGTTAGCTGATCAGACGATTGGATGCTTCCAGCGGTCAATTCGTGGTTCGAAGGCATTTTCTTCTTGGGTAATTTGTTCCATTAAATAAAGTTATAAACCATAGTTTACTTATTACTCAATAAAGCTTATTCAGTTCCACAAGTATATGTAACAAAACAAGTATCTGGGCTGAAAAATTACACAAAAATTAAGAAAAGTAATCCATTTATTTGCACGAAAAGACTGTTACTCTATAGACGAATAGCTCTATGCTTCTCTTTTCATTTTTTGTGAATAATCCTGTTATAGATCATAAAAGTCATCTGTTGTGTTCTTCAATGTTTCCAGCGAAGAATTCCAAAATAGGCGTTTATACTACGAGTTCCAGATTTATGTCTCGGTTTTTCAGTGAACCCTAGGAAAACAGGATTTTAAATGAGTTTTGAAATGCTCATTTGCTGTATAAAAATCTGGCAATGTCTTGGCTATTGAATGATGAAAACCGTAGATTGAGGGCACAACAAGACCGAAGCACACCAATCCCTTAAGACCAGATCGCCAATGCGAAGAATTCTTACCGTATTTCGATCAACAAGCTCGTGGTAATTGTTTTTAAATGTCATAAACCTGGTTAGACAATACGTTATTAAAAGACTAATGAGTCCTTACAACAAATCAGCGTGATTTCTTAACCTGAATGATTGTACGTGACTAAATAGTTTCATCGATGAAGCATTTAGAAAAATGCCATTTTCGCTATAATTTTAGAGCAATGAAACAGAGCAAGCGAAAACAAATAATATTGATCTATACACCTTATTTTTCTAAACAACGTTAGTTTGTTGCTTACAAAACTCATTCATCAAATATGTTCAAAGTTTTCTATTAGACGAATGGCTCTCTATGCTTCTCTTTTCATTCAGTATTTTTGTGAATGATCTTATTATATATCATAAAAGTCATCTGTCGTATCCTTCAATGTTTCTAGCGTAGAA